CTCACAGACGCCTCGCTCACGGCCCTGGGCCTGAACTGCCCGAGACTTCAGTGAGTACACCAGGCTTTCCCCTTTACTGCTCAGTGCTTGGCAGGACTGGGGCGTGGCTGGGCTGACCAGGGGGGCTTTCTGGAGAAAGTGGCCTTGAAGGATGCGCAGGAGAGGAAAGGCTTGCCAGTACATGAGATAAGGTGATGGCGATGATGGCGATGGTTGGCTTTTGCTGGGGGTGGGAAAGGCCCCTTAAGGGGTGCGCCCAGGGAGTAGTGGCCTATCCTCCACCAGTGAGTGCAAACCTTCATCTCCTGACGGATTTCACGCATTTACCCACACGCATGGTCACATGCTGTGGGTCCGTCTCACCCTGAGCACAAGCTGTGAGTGTGAGCTCTTTCATAAGAAGAACAAGACTAACCCACCCCCCACCCCCAGCCCCACTGCGGCTGGGGCCATTCGGTTCACAGCAGCCCCGCAGGGTCCCCAAGCCGTGAGCTGTATGGGAGCGGACTGGGACATTTGTCCTCACGCAGCAGCTGGTGCATTGAAACCACACCCACCTTTCCCCTGTGAGCCAAGCAATGTCATCGTTGAGCCTCCAGAGCACAACACTAATCATAGGCAACGTCCCTGGTGTCCATATATGCCCCAGGGGCCAGGTTAGGTACTCGATAAGCATCTTACCATCCAGCCCTCGCTCTGCGAGACTAAGATAGGAGATGACACCACTTCCCGGGTCATTTGATGAGTATGAAGTAGAACTACAGTGTAAACCTGTGCAGTGTAACTACAGAGCCAGTAAGCTCAACCTGTATGCCAGAGGCAGGAATAAACGATTAATTCTGAACGGTTTAAACAGATCTCTCCTCATATATATATATATTTTTCGGGTGAAATTTACAGAGTGTAAAATTAATCAGTGTGATTTTTAAGTGACTTTTAGTGTAGTCACAATATTGTGCCAAAATCGCCGCTATCCACTTCCAGACATTGCTTCAATCCAAAAGAAACTTCACGCCTGCTCCGTCTCTCCCCGTTCCACTGTCTCCAGCCCTGTTGTCGGCAGGCGCTGTCAAGGCAGCTCCAACTCGGGACCTCGCGTCCTGCCGAGCAAAACGCTGCCTGTCCCGCACCGTCTGCCCGGCTGTCTGAGCCCTGTCAGCCGTGTCGCAGAGGGTCTGCCCCGTTCCCTGACCTTCTACTGGACCAGACGCGCGGTGCCACTCCAGAGGCAGATCCCTCCCGAGGACACAGCGAAAGCACACGCGATAAGGTCCCGTCATCCTCCCTGCTAAGAGGCTTTCTGGTTGCATTTCTTCCCAGACAGATTTGTTCATCCTCAGCAGCCGGGGCGTTTTCCATATTCCTAGCCGTCACTGCAGTTCAGAGGCATCCGTCCTTTTTATTATTTACCACCCAGCGTTCCTGTGTGTGTGCAGCACCTGGAAAGGCCATGGCTCGGGTCAGGTGCACCCTAGTCCTCAAGGTGGCTTAGTGGCTTTGTCACACTTGTGAAGAGGTCGGTGCAGCGGATTTGCTCAGTGCCAGTTTCCCTTGATGTTTTGAATGCTGCTCCTGGGGGGTTGATTGTGAATCCAAATAAACGTCAGTACCACCCCCCATCCCACCCCCGGCCACCACGCATCTGTTTTCTGTCTCAACCGATTTGCCTGTGTGAGACATGTAACTGGCTTGTGTTGACTGGCTTCTTTTGCTTGGTGTATTCTCACGGTTCACACATACTGTAGTGTGGATGGTGCTC